TGATCTTGGACTTCCAGCTCCCAGAACGGTGAGAAATAAATTTCTGTTGTTTATAAGCCCCCTAGTCCATGGTATTCTGTTATAGCAGTGGATGGAGCCCACTAAGGCATCCCCTTTCTTTCTTTATCGCAGAGCCATCTCGGTAAGATCTTTGGGAAGCACTGTTTGAGCTGTGGCTACATTAGGGAGCAAACTGATCATCACATGAGTTGAGTTTTCGGTGTTGGCGACTGGGCAGACTCCTTATTTTTTGGTGTTTTTTAGGTTTTATTTTCGACCCTTTTTTTTGGTTTGTTTTCCTTTCAAACCTTGGTTTGAGATCATGGGCTCTTGTGATAGGCTTCCAATTTGCTGTCTTCTGAACATCTATTTCTTTGGGGAAACGGGTAGGCTTACACCTGCAGGTCTCCTGGGCAAAGAAGTGACCCCTTTTATAGAGCCTGACTGGATGCCTGGGGGGCGGGGCGTGTACGGGGAAAGAAAAATTCAGGGTTCGAAGCTTCCAGAATATCCATGTTTTGCTCACGTTCTGGTCTGGCCCAGGACAGAAAGCTTGGCCAGAACAAAGAAGCCCTTCTATGTGACCATCCCGCTACCTTGAGTCAACCCAGCCCATTTCTGTGCTGTCCTGGGATCCGGAACAGCTGGGATTATGGGCTGCCTGAGAAATCAGTGTGGAAGCTTACATTGCCTCCCTAAACTTCTCGTGTGTGTGTGTGTGTGTGTGTGTGTGTGTGTGTGTGTGTGTGGCGGGGGCGGCTGCAGAATCCATGTCCAATAGGGCACTCAGGGGGAGGGGGAGATTTCTGTTTTAGATTAACAGGAGGATTTATCATGCCAGAAGGTCAATATTTACCTTGGCTTCAGCTTGATGAGTATTTACTTCTCTGCTCAGTGGCTCGTTCCGCTGACTTCAGCAGAACAGAAGATCTGCTTTTTGTCTGCGGCAAAGGATGCTGACTGATATTTTCTTATCAGAAAGGCCCGGTAACAGAGTTGCAGAGGATCCCCCTAGTCAAGTGTGTATGTGTGTGTGTGTGTGGGGGGTTGTCTCCTTCCACCGAGAAATCTGATCCCTCTTTGTACAAACCTGTTTTTTAAGGCATGTTTGAACTTACAGAACGAGGAAAGCACGGCTCCTGGACAAATCACTTCTCTCAACTCCTTGTCTGAAAAATGGGAATTCTGAGAGCCCCTGCCTGCCCATGTCAGGGTTGTGGCAAACAGCGGAGGTGCTCAGTAAAGCCCCGCCAATCCTCATTTGTGGGGTTTTCGTTGTATTGAGGTTGGGAGGGGCGGGTTAGGTGATTGCCCAAGGTCACCGAGGAAGAGAGGAGGAAAGGGGCCAGCACTGCAGACAGGGTCCCAGCTCCAAGCCCTTATGGCTCAATTTCTTGGGCTCTTGGCAACGGTGGCTTCTGCCTCTCCCAAAGCACTAACGTGTATTTGGGGGGTGCCACAGGCACGGCTGTGGAATATCGAGACAAGTGCTTGTGCGGCGTGCTGACAAGGCCAGCCAATCAATTCTATGCTTGAGGACCATTCAATTCTAATGGTACTGCCTGGTCCTTTATTTTGGGGTGCTCACACCTTCCCACTGTTGCCACCCACCACATGTATGTTTTATCTAAAAAAATAACACAAACTGCACATTCTACACAATAACACCCCCATATTTGTTTTATTTTTAAAATTTTTATCTTTTTTTTAAGATTTTATTTATTTATTTATTTGACACAGAGAGAGAGAGAGAGCACAAGCAGGGGGAGTGGCCGGCCGACGGAGAGGGAGAAGCAGGCTTCTGGCTGATCAGGGAGCCCGATGTGGGGCTCGATCCCAGGATCCTGGGATCATGACCTGAGCCGAAGGCAGTTGCTTACCAACTGAGCCACCCAGGCATCCCTTTTTTTTTTTTTTAAAGTAGTCTCCATGCCCAACGTGGGGCTTGAACTCACAACCCTGAGATCAAGAGTCGGATGCTTTACCGACTGAGCCATCCAGGTGCCCCTCCCGTATGTGTTCCAAAATAAAGTTTTGTTTTAAATTATTGACCACAGATATATATACACAATGGAATATTATGCAGCCATCAAAAGGAATGAGATCTTGCCATTTGCAAGGATGTTGATGGAACTGGAGGGTGTTATGCTGAGTGAAATAAGTCAGAGAGAGACATGTATCATATGACCTCACTGAGATGAGGAATTCTTAATCTCAGGAAACAAACTGAGGGTTACTGCAGTGGTGGGGGGCTGGGAGGGATGGAGTGGCTGGGTGATAGACATTGGGGAGGGTATGTGCTATGGTAAGCACTGTGAATTGTGCAAGACTGTTGAATCACAGATCTGTACCTCTGAAACAAATAATGCAATATATGTTAAGAAAAAAAAAAGAAGAAGATAGCAGGAGGGGAAGAATGAAGGGGAGTAAATCGGAGGGGGAGACGAACCATGAGAGACAGAGACGATGGACTCTGAAAAACAAACTGAGGGTTCTAGAGGGGAGGGGGGTGGGGGGATGGGTTAGCCTGGTGATGGGTATTAAAGAGGGCACGTTCTGCGTGGAGCACTGGGTGTTATGCACAAACAATGAATCATGGAACACTACATCAAAAACTAATGATGTAATGTATGGTGATAAACATAACAATAAAAAATTTAAAGAAAAAAAATGAATCATGGAACACTACATCAAAAACTAATGATGTAATGTATGGTGATAAACATAACAATAAAAAATTTAAAGAAAAAAAACAAATTGTTGACCTCAGAATAAGACATAATGGGTTTATCCTGGGGCTCCAAGAGTCATCGGAGAAAGCTCTGCACACTCTGGGTATGAGCCTCCTGATCAGTCCTACCCTGGGGGTTTGAGAAGGGTGGTGTTCTTCAGTTTTATCACTCACCAAAGCCTTGCAAATTATCATAATTAACATTTGTTGAGCATTATAAGATGTTACCTGCAGCATCCAGGCACTTCCTGTGAATAATTCATTAAATTCTTTTAGCAACCCCATGCATTAGGTGCTGTTATTATTATTGATTTTACAGATGAGGATGCTCAGAGAGGTTAGGTAACTTGTCCAAGGTCACACAGCTGGTACTTGTTGGAGTTGGACTCTACTGTTTCTCTACTAGGCCTTCACTGCATGACACAAGAAGTTGCCTGGTTCGCGGTCATGGGGCCAGAATGAACTTTCTTGTCCTAGATATGAAGGGAAGGACCAACCTCAGACAACTGCCCCAGTCCTGAAGCTGCTGGGATGAATTAATTCTTTTCCTACAGCTTTTCATCCTAAAAGAATCCTGCAGAATATGGAGTAGTGGTACCCTGTCCTCTCCTAGGTCCTTCTAGCTGGGGCGCAGCCTGTGGCCCTGGAAAAAAATGGCTTTAAGATAAAAAGGAAATTCTTAAAAAAAAAATAAATCTTATTCCCTTCCTGTCACCCCTGCAGTATAAAAGTCATTTACAATCACATGGAATTTCTCTTGTCTCATTCTGAAAGTAGAGGAGAAGAAGAAGAAAGACAATGTTTACAGATTCCTGGGAGATGGGGAATGACCTCATCACTTACTGGGAGTTAGCCAACTGTCCAGGGAGCACAGATCAGTTTTGGGGAAGGCCCCGAAATTCCCCTGATACCCCAAATTCTCCAAATCTTTTAGGTCTTGAGAGAGGGATGGAGGGCAAGATGAAAAGGAAGTCATCCCAGGTCCAAATGACACTTCCCATTATGGGCTGCCCACTCTGAGATGGACTCATCATCCATCCTGAGTCCTGTTCAGAGACTTGGGACTTGGGAAGTGTGGGTGTGCCATTGAAAAGGCCTCAGCAGGATTTGAGGGAACTGAGTGGAGAAAGAAGGGGTAGTTTGGGGGAGAGGGTGGAGCGGGTTGGATATGATATTTTGGGATACATACTCAAGGGGGTACCAACGGGATATGTAAGCAAGAGGGCAAAAGCCACAGGAGTGGGCCTTTCTGTCCACCTTCCTAACAGCATCCTCTAAAAACAATCCCACAATTCTCTTACAAAATGTACTGCAACCCATTAAGCACTTCCATATTGGATGGCTTCTCTCCAGATTTACCGACATTTTACAGACTAGGAGCTCCCCACTGTGAACAGGGCCAGAGGTAGCCTCAGGGCCTCTGTCAGCCCCTAGGATGCTCTGGCAGAGAACTGGAAAGACTCCCAACCTGGGGAGTGGGGCACAAGCTGGATTTCAGGGCCCACCTGTCTCTCGCATGAGGTACAGTGCTGTGGGTGTCCTGCAGCCCAGAAAAGACCAACCTGCGGCCACGCTGGTGGGCTCAGCTTGTCCATCTGTAAAAGGTGGGAGGTAGGATGGTATTAGATCTCCCCTCCCCCCTCCCCCCAGCTTCCTTCCAGATCCGATGCCTCGCGAATTGGTGATTCCAGAAACAACTTCTCACCCCAAATCCTGCGCTTTCCGCCTTCTGTGCTACAGCTCATCTTGGAGAGAGAGCTGTGGAGGTAGAGGGTGGAGGTGAACGGGAAGAGGGAGGTAGAGGGTGGAGGTGAACGGGAAGAGGATTCTAGGGAAGCCTGGGTGTGCAATAGTTTGGTCCAAAGGGCCCTGGACCAGGACCGCGTTATTTTTCGGCTGAATTCTTGTGAGCCTCGGTTTCCACCTCTGAAAAATGGGAACGGCGCCACCTAATACAGAGGGCAACTTAGGCCAGGGGAAACTGCCAGGCACGGAGTGGGTGCTCCACGACCGTTTGCGGGCCCGAGCAGGGCTTGGTTGGGAAGGTTCTAGAGAGTGTGTGCGCGAGGACGCAGGAACAAGGTCTGGCTTTCCCGGCACGCGCGGCTCCCGGACCCCCAGCTCGGCGGCCACTGGCGCCTCCTCGGCCGCGGACCGCCGAGGGTTAATGAAAAAGCCCCACGCCCCCTTTGACGGCGCAGAGCCCACCTCGCCGAATTTGAAAAGGCGGCCCTGGTGAGGCGTGGGCGCCCCCCCAGAAACTTCCAACTCCTGGCCGGGCTCCACTCGCTCGCCGGCTCCCTCGCTGTGCTCCCGGCGGGGGCCGCGGGTTCGGTCCGGCCGCGGGTGCGCTCCCGCCTGTCCTCCCGCCCGGGCTGCGGGTCCCCGCGGGCGGCCGCGCAAGATGAAGCTGGCTCTCCTCCTGCCCTGGGCGTGCTGCTGCCTTTGCGGGTCGGCGCTGGCCACCGGCTTCCTGTACCCCTTCCCGGCCGCAGCCCTGCAGCAGCACGGCTACCCCGAGCCGGGAGCCGGCTCCCCGGGCAGCGGCTACGGGAGCCGCCGGTGAGTAGCGCGGGGCTGCGGGGCCTGGGGGTGCTGAGCGCTGGGGGTCCGGAGCGGTGGGGGCTGGGGGCTGCAGACAAGGGGCTGAGGGGCGGGGGGCGCCGGGCAGGGGGGGGGGGTGGGGGATGGAGGGTTGAGGGGCGGTGGGCTGCGGACGCGGCGTGGTCGGGGGCTCGGGGGCTCGGGGCCTCGGGCAGCCGGGGCTGGGGGCGCGGGGCTGAGGGTCAGGAGGTGCGGGGCCGGGACTGCGGTGGTCTCTGGCCGCGCCCCCCCTTCCTTTCTTTGCTCTCCCAACCTTCCCCCCTTGGGCTCCCGGCTCCGAGTGAGGGTGGCTGAAACCTGCGGCGGGGGCGCGCGGAGGGGGCGACCGTGGCCCGCTGGGGCTGGGTGGCTCGCCCCGGGGTGTTTACCGGCTCACGTGGCTCCGCCGCGCTCCGCCGCGCTCCCCTGCGCGGCCGCGGCTTTGTGTTGGGGAGCAGGTTCCCGGGTTGCCAAGGCCGAGAGTCCGGGGTCTCCCGCCTCTCCTGCCGGCTGCCCAGGGACACCGGAGGGGCGATTCCGTGCCGTCTTGGGGGCCGAAGCCGCGGAGGAGCCTCGGCTGCGCCTCCCCGGCCACCTGGGGAACCCGGCTCGGATCGGAGGGGTCCGCGGTGGGGCGGAAGGAGCGAGGTCACCGAGCCCACGGTGCCGGGACGCACCGGTGGCCTCCTCCTCTGCCGGCAGGCGGCGCCCTGGCCCCCCCCTCCCCCGACGGTCTCCTCGCCGCGCGGTTGAATTCCCCCAGAAAACGCGTAAGCACGCGAGGAAAAGTTGCCAAACGCCTCGTTTGCGCAGCTCACTCGAATTTAGCTTTTCCTCATTTAATAATTACAACTCCCGCGGCTGTCATAGATCTCTAGAGCACACAACGTGCGTTCATTCGTACCTTCCACGCCTTTTGATCCTAAAACCACTCCAAGGGTACCTATTACAGCACAATCTTTCCTTCAAGTGAGGAAGTTGAGCCCCAGAGGGAGGTCCCCAAGTTTGTGGCAACTCAAGACTGACCTTCTGGCCGCTTTCTCCAAATCCTGAGCTTTCTGCCGCACCGCTGTCATTATTATGGAGGAAGGCAAGAGACAGGTCCCAGTTCGTTCTCCTCCGTGATAAGTTCGTTCTCCTCCGTGATATTTATTTACCAAACCCGGGAGAGCTACCAAGATGAATCCTGGCAACGTCTTAGAGCCCCGGGAAACAGGGATGTTTTTGTGCTGGGCGCGTTGTACCCTCCATGGCTGGGTGAGGCGAGACTCCGAAAAGCCAAAAAGTGCTTCTGGAAAACTTTGCATACAATTTTATTTCCCTCATTTTGTTTGGAAATACTTACCCATGGCTTCTATTAGTATTATTCTCCAAACACCCACAGTAGTGTGGCCTCTGCGCGCTTCCATATGAGATGAGTCTGAAAAAATAAACTTTTCAAGTTGTAGGAGGATATGTATAACATGATCTCATTTGTGAAAAAAAAACAAAAACAAAACCTTTCTGATTTATGGGCATGTAAAGGCGCAGAAATAAAGCTTGTAGGCAAACGTTTCTTGCAGTGACCTGTATGGAGAGAACCGAGGCTGGAGGGGCAGGGGGAGGTGAGGTGGGTGGACTTCCATTTTCTCCCTCCGTGGACTTGGGTCTTGTTAGCCTCTTTTACCAGGAGCATAAGTTCATGTATTATTTTTGTAATTAAAAAGTGTGGGAAGGAAAGTCCTAAAAGGCTTCCGCAGTGTGGAACATGCATGCTGGGAAGAGCCAGAGGTGAGGTCCCTGAAGGAAGCGAGTGAATGGGGACGGGCGTTCTGGCGTTTGGTGGGCTGGAACTTGGGGGCCGCCACAGAAACTTGGAAGGGATTGTTGTAGCATAAATAAAAAGAGGCCCAAACAATTGTGGTAATCTTCCAGAACTCTTTCTACCAGGATGGAAGCCGGGAGAAGGTATAATTAGGTTTAGGGAGGATCTGGATGAATCTGTGGAAAATGGATTCCCAAATAGGATACGGGGAGGTGTTAAGGAGGCTTGGGGCAGGTTCCAGACACTTGAGATTGATGCTCCAGAGCGTAACTGAATCCTGCCATGCACGGCCCAGCATGGCCATTGCAGCCTGGTGTCACACACTCCTGTGTCTCACGAGCGATCAGTCACAGGTGGCCTGTGTCCTTGAAATTCAAAAGCCCCAGAAGCAGAAGGCTTGGAGACAGCATTTGGCACCATGCCCTTCACGGCCTTGGCCTCGGCTTTGGCTCCGTATGTGTGTTTACAGTGGCTTGGTCTCAGTCGATGGGCCAAGTGACAGAGCTGTTTCTTGACAAATAGTCCTCCTGTATTTCATGGTATTGCTCCTGTTGACATCTGAGTTTTGGATGTGGTGTGCATTTGCCTTCATGTGTGTGCGTGTGCACATGCGTACAAGCCTGTGCCCGCCCTTCTGGGTCTGACCTGGGCTGGGGGCACCTTGCCTAACCCACGGTGCTCTGCTTTGGTCCCCTCTGTCAGAAGCCCAGGGTGCACCTCTCTGTTTAAGCTATTTTGGGGGAAAAAGAAAGAAAGGAGGACCCCACTTCCTCAGAGGGTTGTTCCCAGAAGAACCTAGCGGCCCTGTATACGGGCCACTAATGATTTTTGCCGGCCATAGAGCTGTTCAGGTGCCAAATAAAAGCTGAAGGGAAATGCAGCATTAATGCACCTGCTGGGTTGCACTAAGAACAGAGCCCCCAATCCCCTGCTGCAGTCTCTCCATTCTACCCTAGTAAGCCTAATGCATTTGTGAAACTCTTTAGAGTATACACATTTCCCTCTTTTCCCTTTCTTCTAGACTCCTTCCCTCCCCCTCTTCTCTGACACAGATGTTTTTCGGGGGGTCTTGTCTGTTGTCTCCTCCTCACCTCTATCTCCAGCCCTAAAGGGGCCAGAACAGGGTGATCAGGGCACAAGGAGTGAGACCAGACAAGGATTTTTAACGCCTTATCCGTGTTAAGGATAGGTCTCCCAGCTGGACGAAGGAGAAATTTTAATCCAGATAAATAATAAATTTTTATATTTCGTATTAATTTTTGGACTGGAGGTATTCTTCTGACCAGGAGGAAACAGAAGAGATGTGGGCCCTGCCCAGATTGCAGCGGAGGAAGGAATGAATACGTCTGGAGAGTGGGTTCATGGGGCGGGGGACCACGGACAAAGCTGTTTTTTGCTTCTCCTCTGAAGAAGAAAGCTCATTCCAGAAACTGCTTACCCTTGTGTAGGGCCCGAGGCATGAGAACAAATGGAACCCACACACCGTAGGGCTAAATGTCTATATGTTATGACTCAGGCTAACGGATGGTTCAGTAAGTGGGTTCTGTCCACCAACCTTGATGAGTGTACCTTCTCAGTGACCTGGAAAGCCGGGTCAATGAGGAATTCATAAATGCCTCAGAATTCTGTTCTGCAAAATGGTGGTGGGGGAGGGCTGGCTCTGGCCCGCCCTCTACCCTGGATTCCTCCCACAGGGTGAGGGGCTTTGTGCTCAGGCTTATGAACCCCTCAAGCTGCATGTCCAAGTTCACTCCACACCTGTTGGCCTAGAAGTGGGCAGACTAGCTCTGGGGTCTACCTGGAAGGATGGTCATACCTTTAGTGATGCTGATACTAATGAATGAGGAATAGTTCCTCTTTGAACCCTCACCAGCTGGTGGCCTGTTTCATCCTTGTGGCTTGACCTGCATGAACCTGTCATCCTTACCATGCCTCTGGAGGCTGCCCACTCACTCCCTACCCCTCCCCACTCTGCCATTATTCTGGGCACCGGGATATCTAGGTGTGGTGGCTCACCAATGCCCCACGTTGCTCTAGGCCTCCCCTTCCCCTCCCCTTCCCCTTAGCCACTGTCCTTGGCCTTGTGCCTTGCCAGGCTCTCACTTCCCTGCATGAACCTCCTCACACCTCAATATGTCGCTATCATAAATTTCATACATTCTAGACACAGGCTCTGCCATCCCACCCCTCACTCGCCTGGCTGACCCCTCCTTTGCTCACTCTGTTTTCTCTTAGCCTGTCTACTTGTCCCATCTTTGTGGCCTTCCGAACTTCAGCTTCTTGTCCCCTTGACCTTCTCTCCCAGCTGCCTAGAAAGCCCCCCCACGGGACCCTCCAGCCTCCTGTGGAGGGTCGGGGGGCTGTGGATCTGCTGTAGGAAAGCCGTTGCTCATCAGCAGTGGTGATGGGGTCTGCTTTCCTGCCTCTCTGCCCAGGTACCTGGAGATAGGGGGTGTACCAGCCAGCCCTGTGATGGTGAGGCTGTGTAGCCTGGTCCAGGACCAACCTAGCCACTGTCTGGTGGGGCCTGTTTTAGTTCTATAAGGATCTGTCTTTCTCCTCTGCACGGCTGCCCGATGGACCTTTCACAGCAGCAGCAGAGAGCACTCTCCTCTGGTTCAAGCCCTTTGGTGACCCACCATCTCCTGCATCGGCGTAGCTGACAAGTTTCAGTTCTTAGGTCAGCTCTTAGTGACTGGTAGGGGCCGACCAGGCCAGTGGGTTAAGAAGGATTCTGAAGTGGAGCCTGGGCTCCGGGAGGAGTACCAAGACAATTGAGGGATGTCACTGTGACTGAGGGACAGGAAAGTGGAGGCAAGTGTGATGTATTTACAGCCTTGGCCTTTATGATAAAATCTACTCTCTCCAGCGTCACATGTAAAGGCTGTCTTTTTTTTTTTTTTTTAAGATTTTATTTATTTATTTGAGTGAGAGAGAATGAGCAAGCAGCAGTGGGGGTGGGAGGAGGTTGGGGAAGGGCAGAGGGAGAAGCAGGCTCCCTGCTGAGCCGGGAGCCCGACGCGGGCCTCGATCCCAGGACCCCGGGATCATGACCTGAGCCGAAGGCAGACACTTAACTGACTGAGCCAGCCAGGCGCCCCTGTGTGGAGCATTTTAAAGCAAATCCCAGACTCCTGTTCATTTTACTTGTAATATTCAGTACATGCCTGATTCC